GACATTAAAAGTGCCTCCAGGCATCCATTTTTTATGCAGCCATGTTTATACATTTAGATATTTAGTGACAGAGAGACCTCACTGTTGTTTGATTAATAAGAACAAAATTCACCTGAAAGGCCCATGTTCAGATGAAGTAGTCATGGTCGTAAGTCATCCATAGTCATGCTTATTGTATCTTGAATCCTTTATTGAAAAACTGATACATGCTAACTCAAAACACAAAGAAATGTATACAAACTATTTCAAACCTGCAAAACCAATGAGAGATGTAAAACTGCAGTTACATTACTTATGTTATTATATATTTTGTATAGAGGAGAGAGGAGGTAGTAGGAGGAGAGTTTATGTTAGAGCAGAGGTAGAGTTGAGCTGTATAGGCAGAGGAGGAGAGCAGGAGGAGGAGAGAGATAGAGAGAGAGAGGTTTATGTTATAGAGAGGTGGAGCCTATATAGGAGATATGATATATATGGGAGGAGGAGAGAGAGTTTTATATAGGAGTGGAGATATGGAGTGGACAAGAGGAGAGCCAGAGACGTTATATACGCCACAGGAGAGCAGGTTATGATATAGGCATGAGAGAGAGAGCCTCAACAGAGGTAAAGCAGTGTCTGTACCTGAGTGTCAGTATCCACTAATCCCAGTCTTCTGGGTATACCTAACATTGTATCTGGTTTTTGGTGCCACCAAACCTGTCCTGATCCTCCTGCAATGCTACCATTTGATGTCTGATTCATTATATCAGTTAGTATCCAGAGTCTGTCCAGATCACAGGATAGATCCCATCTGCCTGTGGTATCAAGATCTCTGGGAACTGAGTCTATTGGGATTATCATCCTTCCAAGTAGTTTGAGTCACATGTTTCATTAGGCTCAGAAGGAATAGATATCTGTCGTTGTGGTGAAATTATAGTTGATGTGTATGAAAAACCAAGTGTAAAATTGTCCATCTGATAATACTCTTAGCGGCAAGTGGAATGATTATTGAAAATATAAGTCAATGAGAGAGCCTAATAGTTTCAGATTCTTTGAGGCTATGAGGTCAGAATTTTCCCCATTTTACTCATTCAACTGTTATACACCAACACTGATACTTCAATTATTCTTCTGTCTGATCCACTGTACTGCATGTCTGACATCCTGGTGGAATAAGCTTAGTTCACCATTATCCTGCAGATCATCAAACCATGTTGAAAATCTCTCTAGGAAGTCTCATCTGCACTTGGTCACTATTTTCTTGGCAAGAGATTGAGTTATCTTATGTGATGATATATATAGCAAAGTTTCAAGTCATCAATATTGCCCAATGATCTCTGGTAAATGGAACAATCTTATACAGTTTATCCAGCACTAATGGAAATCCTCTTTTTTCTTTATATCCTGTTAACTAAATGTCTGAATAAACAAGTTTATTATTTGATCTGAGCGCCAATCAAATCACAGAAAAAAACACATTTTACATGATGGTATAGTGAGAGAGCCAGTGAATCAGACGTACAGACATACATAAGGAGGGAAGGGAGACACAGCGAGAGGGACACAAGGCTAGAGAGAGTGAGTGAGAGGGAGCGAAAGAGAGAGAAAGAGAGAGAGAGAGAAATAGCTAGAGAGAGAGAGACAAAGAGAGGGACAGACCGAAGGGAAACACACAGTCTCACAGAATGACATACACACAGGCCGACAGAAGGAGGGGAGGGAGACTCACATCTAGGCACGCCATTTTGGAAGAATCGGGAAGCTCGGCGTGTAGCTGTGCGGATCATCTAAAAAAACTGCTTGGTTTGCATATCACCACTACATATATTTTATCTAAAATTCATCTTTCAAAACCTACTCATCCACTCAGAACGTAACAAAATTTCCAACGACCATCGAGTCTCCACCGGTGACATTAGACTTATAATCACGTCATAAAAAAATATTTAAGATGGATTCTATACAGTTATTACTTTTAGTCTCTTGGTCCATGCCGTCAATGTCCTCGTCTTCATTTGGCGGAAAAGTTCCTTCTTCCATGAAAATCCGGAACAGACTGTCATTGCTAAAAAATGAAAAAAATCTATGCGAAAAAAACGTATTTCAAACCTGTCCGGTGCCTCGAAGAGACATCTCCGTTCAGCGTTGTATAAATTGAGGCGCCGAGGCTCCATGCATCTATCTGGCGTCCATCATACGGCAATCCATTGTACTGCTCAGGAGCCATAAAGGTACGGTCCCGCACCATTCGTGTAGAATTGTGCCCGGGGCGACCAGGTAGCGAAGCCGGTGTCGCAAATTTTTGCGACGCCTAGACATGCTTAGTACACGTAGAATGAATGGCATTACCTGTTTCAGGCTCTATCAGGATATTTTCGGGCTTGATGTCCCGGTGGACCACGTCGAGACGGTGCATTTCCAGCACCCCCAATGTGGCCTGTCTATATAGATGGACAAGCTCGTCGATCCCTAGGCCTCCGACGCCGACTAAACAAAAGAATCAGGAAGGCTCTAGAAAAAATAGTAAAAAAATGTCTTTAGTATTTTTTTTATAAAAAAATAACATAGGTTTCTTTGATCCCTCCAGCCTCGCCCCTCTCTGCTCATTTTGGTGGTATCTACATTTCCCGGTTGGATCAGTGCCAAATATATAGATGATCCCTAGCCTACTGGGTCTTCTTTATACCTTTAGTAGCTTACCTTGGAACAAGCCCAAGTCGACGCCGGGGAACAGGTCCATCGATAATATGTACCGTCCCTGATCTCTCATGTGGATGCCATCTATACACATAGAAAATAAGCATTTTAGAACGATAGACTAACCCCTGATGACGACCACGTGTTCGCACTGGCCCCTCAGGTGATCGCAAATGCGGATCTAGAAAATCCAATTTTAGAGTTATGTCCTCATAAAAAACCTCCGTCCTGACCCGCTTCACCTCCTTGGCCCGTATTTCAGGGTCGCGGGAGAGAACCATAAGCTTAATGGCCAGCGCAGGTAGTGGAGCTTCCCGCTCCCATCTATATACCGTGCCCTGTCCACCTATGACAAATCAATATCAACTATTCATAAAAAAACAAAAACTACCTCCGGCGACGCGGGTGAACTCGCCCGTGTCCCCCTCTCCTAGCACCCTTTTTTCGAAGACTTTGTGCGGGAATCGCAGAAAGTCTCCCATAAGCAGATTCGCCATAGTATTTTTTTTCGCTAGAAATAATTGAATGCGTGAAGTAAAGGGTAAAAAAAAAAAGACATGTGAAGGCGTTTAAACTTGAACCAAAATCTGAAGAGCATCGTGATGCTAGCAATCCGAAATGAAGATCCGGGCCATCCGCGAGCTTATAAATCCCAGGTCAGGTCGAAGAACAGCCGTCTGTTCACTGATATCCTTTCATTGTATCCAGGCGTTATGCAGAACCTTGATGAATTGATGTCTATATGTGACATTTCCCCAGCTGTAAATAATCTGTCCGTTCACTCATCTTTAGGCTCAACAGCCGGATCCTTACCATCCACACACCTCCGGGTGGGGTGTCGTGAGGTGGGGGGAGAGGGGCAACAGGGCAACTGTTGGCGGCCATCCCTTTGTTTGCTATCCCCTAAACACCCACTATGCAAATAAAAGAAAACACCTAAAAAATCTTCTTGTAAAATCTTTGGCAGTCTGGGTCCGATATGAGTAGCAACAAATGTTTATTAAAGGATATCGTGGAAGTCGATTATGGCGGCTTGTAAAACTTCTATGCTCGTTCCGCTCAAGAATATCTTCAAAGCCGGGATTAGCGTGTTCCTGAAACGTCTTATTTTCATGATACTCTGTATATCGTATCGAAATATCCTGTGAAAAAAACGACATACCAGAAATGCTCTTCTTCATTTTTGCGACGGGACCTATACATGGCAAATTCTGACTTTCCTGAGTTCGATCATAGATGTCTCACACCCTTGCTCAGTATGCCTGAAATTAAAAAAATGAATATAAACGGACTGTATGGACTGCCCGCGGCACTTAACCAAATAAAAAACTTGAACATACCGTTTGGCCATTTCATTGTAAACCTTTGTAATAACAATATTTTTTTCCAATTTCATACTGAGGTCTCCTCTTGGACCAGAACCGGTATCCCGGGGGCCTGGCCCTCAATCCGACCCTTCAAAACTTTTTTTTTGGTCCCTCAGCTCAGACTCGTCTGTCATCTCTCAGACGCGTCTGTCATCTCTCAGACTCACTCGTCGGTCATCCTCTGACCTCAAACTCGTTGTGCAATCATTATGCAATCAACAGCCGTTCACTAATGGGGGCCAACGAAGGAGAATCGGTGACAGGGGATTTATCACCTGGGGCTTTGAGGAAGGGTACCTGGAACAGCTGATCTACCCTGGGACCATGGGGAAAGGGTGCCTGGAACAGCTGATCTACCCTGGGACCATGGTCCCAGTCCCAAAAAAAACAACTGTTGTGGGGGTCTTCTGCATGTTGTCAGGGGCCCTAGGGTGGGGGTCTTTGGCATGCACCGGCTGGTTCTAGGGGTGGGGGTCTGTCGCACTATATACTACTGTCAGCCAGCGCACACGCGATATGCATCGCTATTTCTGCTTCATCTTTCTTTTACAGGTATTTTGGCGGTCTCGAGAAACATTGATATTTTTATCATAGACACTGTTTGCGATAATTTTCATGGGAATGCCATATCTTTTATTCATTGTAATCTCCTTAAAGTGGACCGACTGGGAGCCTGTCGTGTGGCGTAGGGTGTGAAATACGGTAGAAAACAAACACTTTAGTCGCTGGGCTGACATGCTTATGGAATGGAATTCATAGTTTGGCGAATAATCTGGTTATCTTGCTGTTCACGAAGGCATACAGGAATACGATGGGGCAATGGGTCAAAAAACTATATTCGGTAATTTTTGCATATAATAACGTTCCGTTTCGCTGACTCCCTATAGATCTCTAGTGATTTTAGTTCTCCTTTTAGAAATGCATGCGTTCTGCGCATTTGGACCCCGGCCTGCGGTTGCCGCACGATTTCAAACCGTCGAAGCGGATCAGGGACGGCGCCAGCGAAACCAAGGGCAACTTCCGGGCCACCGTCATGCCGCCAAGGGTAGATGGCCATGAGAAGCGGGCTTTATTTAAGATTTTAGACGCAGATATTTTATTAAAGGTCGTGGAAAGGTAGCGTTTCCGACAACGAATTACCACGCCATTGGGAAACGCCCCGGGAGCCGAGAGTACGAATCCGGCGCTGCCGTGAATAAACGCGTTTCTTGCTCCTGTCCCCCGTCCACGCATGAATGTATCCTACAAAACGACATGCCAGCCAGGTGCCTTGCCATCAAGCATACATATCTGAACCTGCTTCCTCCTTCGCGGAAAGGCTCCCCTTACGAAAGAATACAAAATCGCTCAATTGAACCTGCTGGTGAAATTGAAGTATTATTCCTAACAAAAAGGTTTTTACAAAAACCTAAATTTAATAGCGAAAATGGCTAATTTTGAAATGTGTGCAGTCATCTCTAGACCATTACGCACCTAATGACGTATCATACGCAGCCTAATACCCGTCCCTTCTTGAGATATCCTCCGGACAGACAGACGGAAGTGGATGCAAAATGGCACACACACACAAACACACAGACACATTTTTTACATATTGCCACCCCCAGGTTCCAAAAAGAATTTTATTGAAGGTTATCCCTCTTGAGTTTCAGGTCATTTCCTGCGGCGGCCTCGGAACCTTGTTATAGCGTAGACATCGCGGCCGCTTTTTTTATTAGCTTTCATCTGTATTTCTATTTGATTTCCGGAACCGCACCGTTCGGGGCTCATTCCGAGCTGGTTCTCTGCGGTCGCGGATAATTTGATCGGCCAAACGAGTTGCGAACAATGCCCGAGGACGTTAAATACCGGCGTTCCGTTTTGGGACTGGATTCCTTACTTTTGCAACCCTCGTTTCTGAACTGGATTCTCGAGGTTGGGAACAACCCGGTCGGGTTTTCCTGCCCGCGATTCCGCTTAATGGAGTCTTTCAACACTACTGAGCCCAATAACTTAATTGTTACTGAAAATCCGCTAGTTGCTTCGCTAGTTGAATATCCAGCTGGCGAGTACGATTATATCGCCGCCGTTGGCGGACGGTACCTCGGAAACTTTTTACCCCTACGCGAGAACGCAAATGCCGCAACAGATCCGTATACGTTTGTTACGGGGAACTCACAGCTTTTTAGTTGGTGGTGCGTCAACGTGGAGACACCCCCATTTCATGGTTTCTTTTTCAATTCAATTTTCACGAATGTTCATCTCGGGATGCAGTATGCTGGCCCGTTGCTCGGAAATGCACTTTCGTGGCTTTTACTCTCGTTTTCATTAGTGCACCATTTTTGCTGAACAAAATTTCGCTTGCGCGCGCCGTTTCCGATGTGGTTTCACACAAATTTAGGCGTTACAAACGCGGTTTTCTAAATTTTGTCTCCCGCGGCGCTGTTATTTTCGCTATTTTCGGATGTTTTGAAAGTGGCTCCCGTACGGGCCTGTCGGCAGGGCACCCAGATATTCTGCTGTTTCCGGAATAAAAGCACCTGCCAGCAAATGAGACGCATTACTGACAAATGCTTGTAAAGAAACCCAATTTAGTGTTTCCTAATGATGTTCTACCCCTCTCACTATCAAGAACTATGGATCGTCGGTTGCTTTTACTTCTCTTGGCTTCTTGGCGCGCTTACATTTTGCTTAGCCTTGTGCTTTCTGATATTTGGAAGCGCTCCGCTGACGAGGGAGTACAGAATTGCACAAATGGTGTTGTTGGTGAGTTAAAGCAAAAGAACGTTCATGCTATTGGAGCACGACAACAAGCATGAAAACACCCTGCCGCAACACGTCTCGTCTTTCGTGAAGCTGTACGGAAAGGCCGATATACAAAAAAACAACCCCAGTTGTTTCCGATGGAGATGAAATTTTCAGGAGAGGTGCGCAAGGTCAAACACTAGGTTAAAGCGCACGTTCAGGGAGGGGCCGTATACTCTGTCCAACGTATACACCCTATCGACGTAGGGACCGCGCGCACGGCTTGCCCGTGCTGTGACAGGCCAATCCCCTCCTTTGCGGCGTGGGGCGCCCCTCGCCCCCTCGCCAGGTTGTAGCTTTGGCTGACTGGTATCCATCCGCGCCTCCCGAGCGGAGGGCCCGGGTTCGACCCCCGGCCGCGGCAATAACCTATGCTTTTTTCCCAAAAAACGTCCCTGAACGTGCCTTTTAAAAAGCTTTACCTAGCGGGATATTCCCTGATCAAATCAGCCGCGATTAAGCCATCAATTTCATGTCCCGCGGCAACCGAGGCAGAATTGGCTGCATGAAGTTCCTAACTCGACATTGGCAAAGCCTCACACTTTAGTTTTTTAGAAAGTTAAACATACCGTTTTTCCTCTACTATACCCCTCTAATACAACCCTCCCCAAAATTTTTTCGAAGTTGCCTTTAAGAAGTAAAAAATTCCAAAGCTATTCTGTTTAAGCTTCGTAATGTGTTCCTAAGTCGCTGTGAGGAATTTGAACTGCTGGAAATCATTGTAATTGCTCAAAATCACCAAAAAAATTTCCCACCCTCTGATACAACGCCCTCTCCTGAGGTGATTGAAAAACTAGCAATCCCCGGGGTTATATTAGAGGCCAAACGGTAGGTCATTGTTTCTTTTTCAAGTAACAAAACACGTTTTTATCATATTGCTGATCATTTTATCAATTAGTTGATGCAATTCAGTTAGTACATCGGTTAGTCGGTGGTTTTTTGCGTTTTCAAGCACATCCTGACACCTACAAGTAGTGCTTTTTTTGAGTCATCGGCAAAACCTTACGGGACCTAGCTCATTCGATAGAGAATTCAATTCTGAGCAAGACTCCGTTGTCTTTTTTGCGGAATGGCTATCCCTGATTTTATAAAATTAAAATGCCAGTGACCGTCTCGTACCATGAGTGCCT